TGGTAACCTGTGCTTTGGTTTGTGATCATGAAAACTTGTAGAATGTAGATCATCTCCCATTCATCAGACACTTTCTCACAGAGTCCAACTCCATCAAAGAGCAATTTATGTGAGTGGGTAAAGAGCAAAGAAGTGCGAGTGCTGAGAAACTGATCTATATCCAGTTTCTGTTTCCAGTTTCTGAATAAATGGTGAGGACTACATTTGCACATGATTTTTTTTCAGTCATGATCAAGGATTTTGAAGTGTGTGCCAACAACTAAATTTATTTTCGTGTAGTATTTCTCCCACTGTGACAAAGCAACAATGTTGAAGAAAGAAACCAAAATTGCACGACCCTGGTCTTTTGACAAAAACAGTAAGCCAATAGAAAGGCAGTGATCTTTCCTTATTAACTAGTAACAATCACATTGTCATAAATTTAGAAACTGATGCTTTGTGTGTAATGTTTATTAAACTTTCCCTACAGTAAGTTGGTCTCCAGGTTCCTGCAACTTGGTGTGAAGCCCTTCAGCAAACGCAGCTGCTGGACAAGCCCAGCCTCCTGGCTCTTACAGTACAGACGAAACTCTGCAATGATTAGCTTACCCTTGAGAGTTCAGATGACAAAAGCCTTCATGAAGATACAGTATTTGCTGGGTTGTCAGCAGCAAAATCCTTTCTTTTGGTATCAGGAATGCAGAAAACTTCCCAAACTTCCCATATACTTCATTATATGTAAATACTCTGAAGACTACAAGTGAAAAAAATGAATAGAATTTAGTTGCAATACCTAGATGTTAGCAGTAATATATATTTTTGCATTATCAAACCTCTCTTCTTGTGAAATGATAGATCACTGTAGCTCAGTTAAGCTCCTCAGTGACCTCATGGCTTGTGATTCTGGTGCACTTTATTAGAATTTCAATGTTCCTCACATAAATGCATTTTGAATCTTTGAAATAATAGAACTTTTTAATATTAATTTGATTTTGCAGATCTGGTTACACCTTTTTCTTGTCAGATCAGAGGTTACATGGCTCATTGCATCCCTGCATAGCAAAAAACAAATCTATAATTCCCGTTAATTTTGTTGGAGTTTAGAATCAGCACCTTTTTTTAAATGTATTCTGTAGAGGCTTGTTTAAATTAAAGGTTCTGTTCTTGAAAGATAACTTAAGCATTCGCCCTGGCGAATCCTTAAGATGTCGTGACAGCTTCAGTAACTGCTATTTTCAGACTGCTTCATTTAAAATTAATCACCAGTTGGCATATCAGCAGATATTTTATGTATTTTTGCTGCTTTCTTTTAAAAGGTGGAAAGTCTTTCATATTTGTGGACTTGGATAAGATCTTGTGAATTTTATTTCCTTGATCTGATGAGCTGCAAACATTTTCTAATGTTTTCTGAGGATTTTCCCCTGATAATGTTCAGTTGTATTTGATGCAGGAATTTGCACGAGAATTGAAGGTTGTTGGATTTCAAAATTGAAATGGTGATTGGTCTGTAAGGTCTCTTATACATTAGAAATCTAAAAGCAAGCTTCCCCTTTAACTGCCTCCCAGAAGTGAGACATGGAGAGCTGGGGAATTTCAGTTGGGAATCTCCTTAGAAAATGTTATTACAGAGTATTTATTATTGTACGTTACCAGTGACTACCACCTTAATCAACTGACAAAAACTGAATATCTTTGTGATGTAAGATTTTTTTTTTTTTTTCATCTTTTGGATTTAAATCAAATGTAGCATTTACAGTCTGAATTTCAAACTACTTTACTTTCTCTTCTAAGTAGAGAATTGTAATTCCTCCAACTGAGCTGCTTTTCCTTCTAGTTAAAAAGATTTGTTTTAGGTAATGCCAAATTATAAAAAGAAAATATCTTAAAAAGCTCAAATTTTTTAGACGTTTTATCATCGGACAACATCATCAGGCATTCCAAGTACTCTCTTTCAACTTAGGAAAGCAAAAGTCTTGTTTTATTTCCTTCTTGGGAGGCTCATTTACCAAGATAATGCTTCTTTGCAATTTCTGTCCTCATCACTTTGATAGATCCTTGGTGATGAGAATGACTCAGGATTTAAGGTTGAAGATGTGTTATCATGTAAGAATTAGCTCTTGCTTAGAATTTACGAAATCTGTAACCTTTTTCATCCTAATTCTTGGGTGTTTTCTTTAGGTACGAAGTACAGTGTATGAAAATTGACATGAATTTACTGGTCAACCGATTTTCAAATCTGGGACTCTAGTGAAATACCGTTTTTGCTCAAAACATTTATCTGTTTTGCTGCTTTGTCCTTTTCTTGAGATAAGAAATTACAGTACTGCCCTCACTTTCAGAAACAAATTTGCATGATTAGTAAACTCTAGAAAAGGGGGCAGATGTGAGTGAATGAAATCACATTATTGATTAGACACTTAAAATAACAGCTAAAAACACTCAGCTATTAAAGGTGGCATTTTTATTATTCTTTTTAGAACTAGAGTTGCCCACAAGATCTCCCAAAGGAATATGGACTGATAAATTTCTCACTTGTGGTGTGATAAACTACTTGCAACTTTGCTTCACTTGAATGCCCTGGACAATACAGAAAATATAAATGTAAATATTTACTGGCTTGACCTTTTGTCATCAAAGTCATGCCGTTCAAATCATGGCAGTGTTCAAATGTGATAGCTGACTGAAACTGCTGTTCCGGCTTTTGGTACTTGGGAAATGGCTTCATTACAAAATAATATATAGTAGTAGTGATCTTTCAGAAACAGATATTATAATTGTCAATCCTATTTCCCACTGTTATTTAGAAGACAGTGTAACATATGGAGGTGAAATTTCTGATGTGTAGATCACATACACAAATACAATGCCAGGAGCTGAAGACTAAGATTTGCAATATGTCACTGTAGGAAGAGGTAAAGAGAAATGAAGCATTTTAAGTTGAGATCAAAAGTGGAAAATTTCTTCCCATAGGGTACCTGAGGAATTTGAAGGAAACAAAAGTTTAAAAAAATTATATGTTTTTTTTTCTAATGACTTTTTCCTCTGACCTTTGAAGGTTTAGGGAAATATTTAGGGCTGATTATTTCTCTGTTTAGCTGATGGAAATATATGCTTAGGTTTGGAACTGTGTCACTGAAATCTATGAAGTTTCCTCTTACACTGAGCTAAAATACATCCTCCAACATCAGCCTCATAAACTTCATATGAATAAAGATAGGAATGGTATTTATAAACATACACAAAAATATAATATTTTGAGGTAGGAATATCCATCTGAAACATTTTGTTTATGTCCAACACTAAGAGCATGTAAAGGTAAACTGCTTCACTTAATGTAAATGTGTAAACGTGTAATTTTTTAATTAAGTGTAAATACTATGAGAAATTTTGCCACTGAAGTTTAATCTATCCAAATTTACATGTAATAAAGTACTGAAAATATTTCTCTGGAGACAGTTGTAAAATCTCCAGTTTTCACTGATGTATAATCAATTTAGTAATGTGTATGCACACAAAAACTTATATTAAAATCAGCTAGGCTTTCTAAAATACATGATAAATCTGTTCATTAAATATAATAAAATAGAAGCAACAAAATTTTATTTTCTGCAATTAAGAGAGTAAAAATAGATTTTCTTTCTTCTCTGAATTGGTTTATTAGTTCCTTGTATGCCTTGTCTTACAAAGATAAAAGAAAATTATGCACTCTTAGAAGTGCAGGAAGAAATCTGAGTCTTGAGAGTGATGGGGAAATCTGCAGATTCTAATATTTTATATTATTGCCTATTTGTGAGATTTTATTATTTTGACTTTTTCACATTGACATATGTTGATTTTGATTATCTTTTCGCTTTTCAGAGTTTTGTTTTTTTTTTTTTTTTTTTTTAATGAAGTTATTATGTTCGCTTAGAAATGGATAAGGAAACTTAAAAATTGGACATGTCTCTCCATTAGATTGCTTATCTGAAATGGAGACATGCTGCAATGCAGAGAACATGCACATCACCCCCAACTGTCTAGACTATATTTTCCCCTTAGGCCAGTTTTTGTTTTTAAAGTTGCTTAAATCATGAATGTCTTTTTTTGTCTGCCAAACTGCTTCATAATCTATTTTGGAATTTAGTATGTTCAGAGTGGTGAAGTCCAACTGCAGCTTGCAGTCTGAAAAATGAGACATCCTTCAGTGTGGCTTGGTAGGAAAAGTGTGAAGTGTGATAGGAAGTGCACGTCCAAGAGAGAGTTGGAAAGCAGGAGGTAGAGTTGGAAGAATACTCGTTGTAAAACACAACAAGGAGTCTGGTGTCAGAATTGTTAAGAGGACAGCAATAACGTATGGCCTTAAGATAAGTGAAAGAAACACAGTACAAAGAAATGGGTAGGCAGTAAATGCAGGGATAAAGAAGTACGGAGTCTGGAGTTGTAAGGAAAGGGCTTCAACACTGCAGAAGAATAACTTCTATCAAGAGCTAGAGATAAAAAGTCAGAAGGCTAAGCTGAACACAATAGAGGTCCTTAAGTGAGCTCATAATGGTACGTATTAGTACATAGGAGGCCTTTTATCAGAGATGGCCTGCAGCATACAGTGTCATATATTCCAAAATCATCTGTATTGCACCTGTAAAAAATCATTATTCCAAAATCATCTGTATCTGTATTTATTTTTCCTAGGCTTCATTTGCAACCTAATTTAGAATTAGGAAAGTAGGGAAACTATCATTCTGACTTCTGAAAGAGTGGTTTTAATGCAAATTTTGCAATAATATCTATTTAAACTGTAGGCTATCATCTGACATTTCTGTGTTTTATGAGTCTTGACCTAAGGAAAGGAGGGAGTAGTATGTTTCTTTGGCCAAAGCTGTGGAGAAACTAAAAAGAAAAGAAAAGAAAAAAGTAATATAGTTGTCTGAGTGCAAAAGATAGATATTTCTTTTACATGTAGAATAAAACTAATAGATCTAGGGAATAGAAGAATAGGAAGAGAAAACATATTAATCTAAAAATATCTATTTCTTTGTTCCTAGGTTCAGACATTGTTCAGTGGTTGACAAAGAACTTATCTATAGAAGATCCAGGTAATTAATTTTTTTTTTAATATTAGAATATATATTTTATATATATTAGAAAATTCTAGATTACCTTTTTAAAGGATTGCATTCTGTTTGTCTTCTGTTGCAACGCGGAGACTGTGTTTCATCAGTGTAATTTCTGCAGAAAAAAAAGACATAATCAAGCTTCAGAAAATTTTGCTAAGAATCTGATGATTTTGGCTATACATTTTGCTGGAGCACATACTGGGAAGCAAGAGGATGTCCAAGAAAATGAGTGCTTTAATTAGTAGAAAATTAATTTTCGTTCTACTCTGTTAGGAATTGACTCATAGTTGTACTGAATAGTTTCATAAGCACATGATGTTTTCTTAACAGAATTTTGAATAGATCAATGAATAAATAAAATTAATAAAATGTGCTCTAGTGTTGCTAGGAAGAACTACGTTTGCATTTTTAAATTTAGATTCTTTTATAGTATCTTAAACTGAGAGTGAACTGCAAATAGTATCAGTGCTCAATGAACTGTCTTGGAATGTGGAAGTAAAGCTTTGGTTCCAAGTGTGCCACACCTTTCTTATATGGCCAGGTTCTAGCTCAGTGTTTGTGCATGTCTGATATTTATTTCCAGAAATGAATGTTTTCTAGTAGAAAATGTTGAATATCTGAAATAAAATTCTATGGAACTCCTGTTATATTTTCTTCAGGGGAAAGATAATCTTCTATCTTTAGAGCATAATCAAAAAAATTCCAATTTTTCCTGTTCCTTTTTCAGACTTTTGGGAGTGTAATTTCTATCTTTATTTGTTTTTTAATTTTAAACATGTTATCTGACATGTTAGAAATGAAGTTTAATTGTTGTGGAATTCAAGGAAAGAGTAAAATCACTGTGTTTAAAATTATAAATTGTAGGTGCATAAACTGTAGGTTTAAACTGTAGATGCATAATTCAATAACTCCAAACATGCAATTCACAAATTATCTAAATTATTACATCAAGGAGATTGCTAATTGCTGCCAGATTAGTATTACTTCCTACAGAGTGTTATATATTTTCTTCCTGAAGACAATGTGGAGGTCACTAGATACACAGCTGTGATATTGTGTTTTTCAGCTGTCAACTAAAAAACACGTACCTCTCTATTCTCATCAGTTTGAAAAATCACAATTGATACAGAAGCTCAACCTTTATTTGTCAAACCAGAACTGAAGTCCTATGATAGCTGTCATTCAGATTATCTGGTTGTTGTGAAACTTTACAATAGAAGAAACCTTAAACTCAATGGGAAACACGGTTTCCTGTGTTAATACCCAATTAAAATTAAACAAACGCACGTGCGACTTGCATATATAACCAGAACACATTTTAATGTAATTTTATCTGAGCTGTATTATGTCCCCTTGGATTGCATGAGTGGAAACACTGTCCACAATAACAAAAATGTCTTATTCATGTTGGTTCTAGTCCAGGGACTGGACAGCCAAAATACAGCGTTCTGGAGCTGTCTGGCTGCAATTCTTTGGAAGGCCAGCCACCACAAATGTTGCCTTGTGATAGCACTCAGAATTGCAGATAACAGTGAACCTCACAGATAGCAAGCAAGAGCTGTCCACAGGGCAAAGCTTCTGATAAAATTCTGGTTTGTAAAATCTTCGAAGATTTTTGACTTTTTGTTCTGGTTCTAGACAAAACTGTCCAGGATTTCCTGTGCAAAAGCCCTAACCTTCTGAGGGCTGTTGTCAGCATAATTTGGATTTCCATTATCTTCTGTCTACTTTTCACCAATATGCCAGGGTTTTACTATGGCTATCTTTTAAAATTACTCCTTAAAGTCATGTTACCAAGCTGTTGTGCAGTTTTCTGAGGCAGAAATAAATAAGCCTTGTGTTTGAAAGTTATACTCTCCAACTAATTCTCATATCAGCAACATAATGTAGACCCTGGTTCACATACTTTAAGAGTATATTCTGTAATCTCTGGAAAAAATTAACAACTATTTATAATCCGTCCATGTCAGTATGAACTACTCACATGAGCAAGGCATGCAAATTCTCAAACACATAGGCAGATTCTTCTTAGTAAATCAAAGAACTAATTAGAAGTGGTGCCTTTTTCTTTCTTTTGCACAGAGCATGTAAATACTGTAACATTAAACGGGAAGAAATCTGCTTTTTGGAAACTGGGAGAACAAAAGAGAGGAGGAGATCTAGCAATATTTCCTTTCACTGTGATAATCAATGTAAAGCTAGTATCTGGAAACAGTAATTTCAACCCAAAAAAATGTTACAAGTGTAAATTGCCAGTAAAAACAAAACAAAACAAAAACAAAACAAACAAACAAACAAAAACCCACCAAAACAAAAAAGCACATTTTTCCATAGTTGAAAAACAGTGTGTTGAAGATTTGTAAGATTTTGGCTTGCTACACTAAATCTCTGTCAAGAAAATAAACTAAGGATGATGGGTGGATTCTGCTAAATTATACCAGATTTGAAGTTATTTCAGAGGAGTAGAACAGAGCTTGTGCCCAGAATAGCTGTGTGCAGTGTACCACCATGTTGCTATTATATTGTTTACTTTTCAGTAAGTACTTTAAAAAAATGTTTGTTTCAGCCTACAAATTATCTGTAAAATTTTAAGGAATGGAAATTATCTAAGTTATTTTTAATGTGAAGCTTAGCTCAGTCATAAAAATAAGCCTGACCTCAACCTGAAAAGAAGCAATTAACTGAGTTTATAGAATTGTAATGGCATGTAGTTTGGCACTTAGACATATGTTTGTTGAATTGGCCATTACAGGGTAAGTGCTGACTCTTCACTGCTGGTGCCAATTAATCTCAATGAAGAAAATCTATTCCATTTTTCTACATTATATTTTTCTTTTTTTAAGTAACAATTAGTTCTGTGAAATGTACCAGGCTGACCACACTGGAGATTGAAATCCTTCCAGTCCAAAAATATAACAATTAGGATTAGTGAACTGTTTTAAAGATGTCTGCTGAAATTTCCCAGTCTCTCTGTACTTGGCTATGTACTTGGTTCTTACATGCAATCAGTATCAGTTTTTGGTTTAGCGAAGAATAATTAGTGTTTTCATAAAGACAGGTATGTTAAAACACACACTGAAACGTGTGTGAAACACACATGCATACACACTGAAATGAGTGTGAAACACTCATTTCATTCTTCCCATAGTCCATGAAGTATTTCTATATAGGTGCTCACAAAGAGTCTGTAGGAGTTGATAATAGTTAAGCCATCACCTTCTTTCTCCATAGTACCTTTACTTAAAAGTGTTGCACAGTTAATTTATTGGTATCTGCTAAGCCAATGGAAATTATTTGGCTGAAGGCAGATCATTTTTGGGTGGTTGCTGCAGTAGAGTTGCAGTATCAGTGGCCATGTAAACTGTGATCACTAACCCAGTACAAGAAAAAGGAACAATTTGGTAGGACAACATCTATTTGTTTCTTTTGCTTTTCCTTCTATTGTTTTGTATTTAAATCTCTCTCCAGCAGTAGCTGTGTTAATAATATCTTTGATAATGCACTCTGCTTGCTGTAAGAGTTAGCAGAAAAGTATTAGGGTTTTTATTTGAGTGTATTTTATTTGATTGTATTTGAGTGTAGCTGGAAACCTATTTCTTCCCCTTTCTTGCATGCATGTGCAGGAAGGCAGCAGCAAAGAGCAACAAGTCATTGTAACCTGGGACACAGCACCAGCCAGCTGCAGGCAGAGGAGCGTTTCTGTTTCCAGAGCTTGCTAAAGAAGAAAATAGCCTGTTAGGAAAAAACGGAGTGGAGAGATCATACTTTTGTTTGCAGTTTTTGCATTAATCAAAACACTGGTAATAAAACAAGTGTGAATTTGATCTGAGCTTGTCAGGTCCTGTAGCATTTAAATTAAATAATATCTGTAATTTTAGATGAACAGAAAGAAGGCAGGGAATAGAAAATGTCAACATTTACAGGCAGTGTTTTGTACCAATTGTATTAATGTTGTGATGAAACTGTATAGGCCAGTTTTTCTTTAGGTTCGTGTAACATTTAGTAGTCTGTGATAGTCGATGGGCTACTAGCCAATCCTTAGGATTCAGAGCTGAAATAGTAAATGTTTGTTTGCAGCAGTGATTGTATTTCTCCAAAGCCCTAGGAAAGACCTTACAAATGGTGAACAAGGATGTACTGACAGTAATTTAATTGCCATTGGAGAAGTCAGACTTAAAGGATACCATTTCTTTCATGCTTTTCCACTAAAGGTTCTTCCATTTTGGTATAGCATGTTACCCTGTGTAGAGTGCAACTCTAAGGAGCACACAGAGCAGTAGAAGTAACTCGGAATGAGCTTTCCCTCCTCTTATGTGCCAGGAAGAATTTAAAAATTGAAGTTAATAATAATAATAATAAACAGCATTTTATTTGTAATTCAAAAGGTAATATGAGCATTATTTCACTGAGGTTTTTCAGAGTCTTGGTGAACAAGGAGTAAGAAAGAGGTACTGAATAGAATACAAAGTACTTTGAGTAGAAAAGTGAGTTTAAAGAAGATAGTCTGATAAAAGGCTAATGCTAAAACTATTACTAGATACTGAAAAATCAGTAAGCATTAATTTCAAGTAATTTCACTGAAAAGCACTTCAGATTCTCTGTTGCACCAATTTAAGGAATCTATTTTATCCTTTCTGTCACAGAAAAAATTAGTCTATAAGAAATCTAAATTACTCGATTGAAATCTTTTTCCATCAAATTACCTCCAAAGTACACAGCTTCATCAAAAAGTGTTATGATGAAGCTATTATTTTATTATATGTAAAACTATATGTTGAAAACTGGTGCTGAGTTCTTCCAAAAGTTTATCTTTCAATTCTTTTAGAATTGAAAAATAAATCAGGCATTTTTTTTGTTCCATGGTTTTCAATTGAAAATATTTCATGTACTTCTAGAAGAAGTGGCGGACTTAAACTGGGTATCTCCTTGTGGGTACTGTGTGCATCACTTGATGTCATCATTCAGCATATTGAGCCAGT